ATATTTACTCCTCTATATCATCCCGTGGGTGTCGTCAAAGAGCAACTGACCCAGTAGGTGGGCAACAGCATCTTCCTTTTAACAGCTGAGTAAAAATAAAAAACTGCGATTGCCAACCCGCTTACCAAGCGTGGCAACTTTTTTTTTATAGAAGAGATGGCAAATACTTATGGGGGAGGCTTATGTTTGGCAGTCGACGACAAAGTCGTGCGGATTACTTTAGCCTTCAGGTATAGCAGTGGTTTTGCATGGTTTCTTTGGGTAACAGCTTCCACTTACTATTAGGACTGTCCCCTTCTATTAAAAAACATATACGAATATCGGCATCTGCAGATATCTTCTTTGTGAAATTCAGGCTTTTTGTCTTCTTCTAATCTGGCATTTATCGTAGATTAGAAGAGGCGGACATATTATGTAGTATTTAATGTTTTTGAATATTATCTTGTACATTTTGAAGTTTCCATTCGGATTTTGCAAAATAAGTCAGAGTATTTGACTAGCATATAATAATATATATACCTAGCTGCCTGCAGTCCGTCTACTGTGGTTGGTTCCAAATGTGTGTCACCTTTTGCTACAATCTAGTCTAGACGTTTATTGAGTTTATCATAATTTTCGTGATAATTTAGATTTAACACATCATTTAAAACCTTTTAAAGTCCGTTGCTGCTGGGCATAGGCTTTCAAGAATGCGCTACGTAGGCGGCAGATTGTAACGATGAAACGCTCGATCCCTTAAGTCTCTATTCCTACTAACGCCTACTTCGTGTAGAGGCGAAAAACTTGTCCTATTGTCGTCGGTAGTGTGTCTTTGCTAGTGTAGTGGTGTTGGGAGTAGTGGTGCTGGGATTAGTGGTGACGGGGATAGTTTACGCGATTGAGGGAGGGCGGGAGGTGCTCTTCAAATTAGGTAAGACATATCATTTTATTTAATTAAGTGGATATTGGCGAACTAATTCTTACCGATTTTAATTCAAAGTGGTAGGCAATTAAAAGTTGAAAACTGTTCTATTTATTTATTTTATTTCTTGGAACTAAATATTTAAAACTAATAATAAACGTCTTTAATAGTATAAGGCTTGTTGATTAATATTACTTCAGATCTTTTTATGTTTTCCGTAACCGAAGCCTAGGCATTGAAAATACACCTTATTATCAAAATCCAGGGCTGTTTCGCCCTTAGTAAACAGATGCTAATATCATAAGTCATTTTCATTGTAGTAGTTTTTCAGAAAGACGCGCTTATTAATAAAGTGAAACTATAAAAACGCTCGAAGGACATTTAAATTACGTGTCCTACTACACTAAATAGCTGTATGGCGGAACAAAAAGTCACTTGTGACACTTTACTTTGCAAATTTATTTATTAATGTAATGGTTGTTTTTTATATCTCTTGGTTTTCCATTCCGTTATACAGGCTTATCACACCGGACACCAGAAGATGATAAAAAGTTCCAACAACGTAATGTTAAAATAAATTAGTAATTTTGTAAATAGCGTGCGCGTACGATTGTGAACTTTACTATACGAGTTCAATGATTCAGTTATTTCCTGTGCACATAAATATCTAAATTTTTGTTAACCGCGCGCGCGCGCACACACACACACACACACACGCACGCACACACACACACGCACACGCGCACACGCGCACACGCGCACCGGCGCGCCCGCGCGCACACACACACACACACACACGCACGCGCACACGCGCACACGCGCACACGCGCGCACAGCACACACGCACACACGCACACACGCACACACGCACACACGCACACACGCACACACGCACACACGCACACACGCACACACGCACACGCACACGCACACGCACACGCACACGCACGCACGCACGCACGCACGCACGCACGCACGCACGCACACACACACACACACACACACACACACACACACACACACACAGAGAGAGAGAGAGAGAGAGAGAGAAAGAAAAGGAGAGAGAGAGAGAGACAGACAGAAATTTTACACCCACTCCCGGAAGTTCTTTTGGTTTATTTCCCCAATATTCTCGCCGGCGTGTGCGATATGCACTTAATATGGATTGGAGCTGCACTACCTCGATTACCTCAAACTCTAGGCTTTTATACTAAATATAATAATCGAGTCAGCGCTTTTAACTAACTAGGGTTGGACATAACATCTCCCCCCTTTGACGGAGCTCATCCTTCTTTTTAATAAGCGTTGAATAGATTCTTACAAACAATGCAGTGAAAATCAAAAAAATACACACAGATTTGTGGAGCGTTACGATATTTTTGATTTTAATTATTTTTATTTTTGGTGTTCATTAGCGAGGATTTGTGGTCAAATCAATCAATCAATTGATTTGACCACAAATCCTCGCTAATAAACACCGATCCCTTCCAAGGATGATTCGCGAGGTTATTGAAATTAAAAACCATCCTAATTTCAATATAGAAGATGGGCTGGGTGCTACCATCTGCTAGGGATCCTATAATTATTAAAATTAAATCGTAATCCAAGCATACAACTGCAAAACTTCAAGATACTATAAGTTCATACAGCGTAGATCAGAATAAAAATTGATAATTTATAATCTGGAGGTAGCCGTAGATAACCACGACATTGGGACGTTGAACACCCAGTCCCCCTGTGACCCTGGGTGCTGTAACGTTTTCGAATATAAAATAAGTTAATATACGCGATTAAATTCGTAAAATATAGTTAAATTTAAATATGTGCGTTACGCCAGTTGTCCCGTTTTATTGTATACAACAAAATTTTAGGCAGAAGTATCTAGAAGCGTTACGCACTTTTGTTTCACATATTGTTAGAATGAAGACCAACAAACAAAAAATTAAAAAGTACTAAGGTATTAAATTCACTGGGAAATTATTCTCCTATATATATAAACAAAATGGGCTTCAACGATACGATACACACTAAGTCTCACTGAATGGTTTCTAGATAGAACCAGATATGATTAAAAAAAAATCTCGTTTTGAGGGTACTAGGCAATATCCACCAGCTCAAGGCAAGATAGCAATTAGTAACTAATAACATTAAAATCTCATCCCTATTTTTCCATCCTTAGGGGTGGTTTATATGAGACCACTTGAGGTGTAGTCTATTTAATTAAAAAAGAATTAAGTATTTAAATCGGTTAAGGCTTTTCTAAGTAATCGATTAACGTACATTAAAAAGATCGGCATCGAATATAGAACCTCTTTTTTGTATTATCTATTTAAAACATGAAAAGTAAAATCTTTCGCAAATTTTTCGTCATTATATACTTTCACAGCTTCATCCCGCTTTTTTAGTCACTTTGTAGGTGAAGTAGGCATTTGAAGGTAGATGTGTGCGATACACTTTCTATATGTGACACTTTTGATTGAGTAGTTTTTGTACAATTTAATGATGAGCTTAAATTAATCCAAGGTGGTTACTATTAATCGCACGGTAGGATCATCTTAAAAACTGGGACTTATTGGCTTTCACTACTCTCTTCAATACTTATGATACCTTCGTGAAACTTTCATGTGGAAGTAACTAATACGCTTTCCCATGAAATCAAATCGAATAGTTTCATCAGGAACCAAATAGAACAGAATAATAGTAAACCACACAGTTCAAAATGTAGTGAGCATTAATTTATTTTTAACCCGTTCTATATCTTGCAGTAAAAATATAAAAAATAAAAACTTAATAGATAATTTTTGTAAACGGCGTTATCTTGGCTAAACTATTACTTGCTGCTTGAACAAGTAATTCCCTGTCAAATAAATAATTAGTTTGTTCAAAACATTTGATTGTTGAATTATTAATCATGATGTTTTTGATGGTAAAGGAAATTATTTGAATGATGCAAAAGACTATAAACTTTCCCTTAATGTGTACCTTTTTATAGTGTTTTCTAACTTTTAATCCGGCATGAATTTCAGTCATCAATATAAACTAGTTTCGGAAATATGTCTGTAAAACACATCGAGATGTTACGTGTTCCTTGTCAATTGATTCGGAACTCTAAAATTGTAGCTCAGATGGTAACGCTCGCTGTAAGTATAACACAACGCGAGTAACCCGGGTTCGATCCCCGCTGGCACCAAAAATAATTGCAATTTTAAGTGCTGATTTACCACGTGCTCGGCCGTGAAGGAAAATAAGAAACCTACATGATTTGGATAAAAATATTTCGAAGACATGTCAAGTTCGCCAACACGTATTAGGGCTGCGCGGCGGACACTTCTTTGCCCCACCACCCTTTCAGAAATGAGGGGAGGCCTGTGCCCAGCTAGTGGTACGCTGTAACTTTACTTTACTTTCTAAAATTGTATTATAAAGTAACGATATATTAAATGGACAAAAATGCGAAACTATGACCTAAAAAACAGTTGAAAGATACTTGCGCGACAAATGCCAAGGCAAGACAGCAATATTGTTCGAGTTTGTGTGGCATATGGTCGGGGAAAAAAATTAATGTCTTTCAGTTATCAGTGGTGAAGTTAGGTAGGGCCATTGTTGCTTTAGCCAAAATGTCAGGAGTGGCATATGACGTCACGCCGCGTTGAAATGGCGCGGCATTTCACGGTGCGCCAACCACACCCCAGCCCACCCTAATCTCCGTTACGGTTTGTCCAAATCGTCCCTCGGGTCGCCCGCTGAATATCGACCTAATTCTTTTTTACGTTGCTCGTTAATCTGACTATAAACATATTGTGGCAATAGGGTAAAGGGGTCGAGGCGATGTGAGGTTTTTGTTTGCTTATTTGTCACGTGATTTCGATCGAATCATTTTTATTGACAACTTGCAAAGTTTACCTTTTAACTAATTGTAACAGTTATACAATATCGATATACGATTCCTGTTGGCAATATTATGTTATGAAGTCATCAAGTAACTCATTTTAACTACAGTGTTAACTTGAAGTTAGTCTTATTGATAAGGTCTTATTTAAGTATTACTAAGTTAAATGTTTTTAGATTTACGTGTAACTATTCGATTTTTGTTCAACAGGTACGCAATGGCTGCAGCTGGATTGGTTGTACTCTCCTTGCGGCAGTATTGTTTTTAGCGTCAGGTTAGATAAGTTTTTATTTTATAAGGATAATGATAAGTTATATATAGATATATGTTTTTATATACAGACAGAAATATTTATATCCATTTTTAATCGTGGGTGCTATTGTACCCAAGAAGGAGTGTAAAATATCCAATGATTTCTTCGCTAGTAATATGTATATACATAAGTCAATGGAAATATCGCACAGTTAAAGTTTAAATGTAGAAAGAGTGCATATAGCTGGAATTTATTTATAATATATGATACATATACGTTAAATAAAATAAAATCAGACAATTTTTTTACGTTTATACTGCCAATATCAAACGCAAAGAGTATATAATTACTATATTAAGTCCATTGAGCTATTACGTATTACGTACTAGAGGCGACACTGCGTTCAGCTACTCTGTTCCATTCAACTGCGGTGCATACACCGCATTTTAATCAGTCACTCGCTAGGCGCTTGTAGAGTTGTCACGTGTGGTGTTGATTTAAAAAAAATATCTTGAGAAAAATATGCCGTCGTGTGTACTTAGACATTGCACAAATAATTCAAGATATGTCAGTAAAAACCAAGGAATTACTTTTCACTGGTTAATAAAATAATAAGATACATAATCAATAAAAAAGTATTATATATTAATAATAAAAAAAATTATTCCTAAGATGCCATATCGTGTCATGGAATACAAATTATGAAATGAATTTGTACAGATGCGACATTTCTGTGGGTACTTTATAGTATTAGGACAAATATATTATTATATACATTTTTTATCGTAATTAGGCTAAATTTTTATTTTTAGGTTTCCACATGAAAGTCAAAGTGGAATAAATTCGTCTTTTTTAAACTCTCGCATGCCTAGTATTTATGAACGACTCTTATTCTAATTTAAATAAATATAATTGTAATTAAAAATTGTATATCAATAAGTTTTGTTAAACATACATTTAGTATGTTTTTTTATATTTGACATAGATACCTTTTAAAATATTGAGATAAAATATAATTAAAATTAATAGTGATATAATATTATGTAATATTATATTAAATAAGCAAATTATAATATACAAAATAAATGAAAAAATTAAAAAATTGTTTTCGATATAATTTACCTATTTGACAATACAATCTACTATTACCTACTGATAATTCTATCTATGTTTATTCTATGATAAAAAAAACCAACCGCGCAGTAGTGCATATTTTTTGTTTGAAATAGCTGTTCTAGCACGTAAGTACATATTATTATTTCAATGATTAATCAAACTTACTGTCATTTGTTTGAAGTTTACGTTCATAGTGCCAATGTCAGACATAGTCAAACAGTAGCTACAGAGCAAAGACTTTAAAATACAAGCACAGAGTAGAGATTTTCGCCAAAGAAGATTTTATATTTTGTATATTGAATATCTTTATTTTTTAACTTTTGAAACTTAAAAATTTTGTAAATTACGGTCCACGATGATGGTGATTTACGGAATTTTATGACGTACGGCATTTCACAACAAAAGTCTACAATTTTAATTACTATTACTGAAATGCAAAACTATAAGAGTTATATATTTATTGATATAAAAAACACCGTTCTTAGAATTATATACAAAGCAGAACTTTTTTTAGAAGTGTCACGAAACAACACACAGTCCGTCCACCTGATGGTAACTGAATGCTGTAAACATAGACATCTACATTTACTTTCGATTAAAAATCAATGTGTTGAGCTCATCTCTGATCACGATAGTATGCCTCTATACAAGTCAAAAGGACCCTGTTTCTCGTCACTCCTTATACAAATCACAGCAGCGTAATGCTGCCTTTTCGCGCTGGTATTCCGTGCGAGAATGGTTCTTTCCTGGTCGAGCTGAACCATACGTGCTGCAGCAAAAGCACAGATGCAGCAAAGCTCAACCGTGTACGAAAAAGTCGTCGCTGCGACCGCGATTTATGATCTCATTATGATTTTCAATCACTTATTATTCAAAATCCAGTGCTGAACATTGGCTCGCCCATAGACTGGCTCCTAAGGAAGACATGCTGTGGTGGCATCGTTTGGCAGGCGGGTTGGCAACTGCATTTTTTTATTTTCCAGTGATTATTGGGAAGACACTGCTGTCCATTTTTTTTTGGATTATTTCCCTCTTTCGCCGCTGACAAAAGCCACGGAGCGATATGGCTTAGTGGTTATTTTGATACCGCCACTACACGGCAAACGTAACATAACATAAACACTCACGTCTGTCACCCAGAGGGGTAGACAGAGACTACGGACTTCCATTTGGCACGATCCTGGCACACCTCTCGCCTCCTCCGCATTAATATACCTACGCATACATGCTCGTCGGTTTTTCAATATATCGCCAATTTGGTCGATAAACTTTCGACTAGGAAGTCCCTTACCGACTCTGCCGTTCACTTCTGCAACATAAATTAGCTTTGTCATTCTTTCAAAATATCGTCAATTGTGTCGATAAACCTTCATATTATATTGATATCAACTTCATCTATTACAAAAAATAAACCTAACAAGATACTAATGCGGTAAACATATGATTTGAAAAAAATAAACTCAGTATAACTGATACTACAGGGATATATGGATTGGAAATACTGTTAATTCTTAAATATAAATTTTTGACTACGTGCGACTCCTTGTACTGACTATATAAACTCTCTCATTCACACGTATTTCCATTTATCAATATGAGGCCAGCTAATTTTTTTATGAAAAGAAGGCAAATGAGTATTCAGTTCACTTGAAGGCGAGGTGTGAACGCCGTCCATAGGTAATCGAAATACAAGAGGATTTGCAAGTTCATTACCAGCCTTTTATAAAGCAGGCTCTTTTCTTGAAGGTCTTGCAGAACGGGAAGTAAAAACTACAATTGGGTCGTGCGTAGCAAAACAATACAAAAACTTGGAAATACTTTTAATTTTTATATTCATTTCATTAATATTTTTAACAAAACCATACAAACAACCCTTGCTATGTATATTAGCTATGGGTTGAATTATGAATACTCAAGGGTTGAATTAATCTTATCTGTAGGTAGATTATCAACAATACAGATATATGGGATATACAGATATAATGTGGATACACGTTTGCAGAAGCTAATAAAGTTTTAGGACTATTCAGTTTTTCTAGTGTATTTTATTACACACATCCAACCTCATATACTACATAAAATAAAAATGTATTTCACAAACGATTGGTTTAATAAATAGGAAGTTGTTGAGGCCTGTATCAACCGTACATTAATTTAAACGATAGTATTGCCTATAAAAGTGACGTGATAGACCGCATGCCGCTCCTAACTCAATCACGTAGGTTCGGACTTAAGCTTTTAACGTGCCTGAAAGTAGAACACAGCTCTTTATAAATAACGCAATGTACTCTAAGCTTTGCGAACTTGTATTAAAGTTAATAATCGCTAACCACAGCCATTCGCAAGCAAATTTCTTAGCAAACATAAAGGTTTGCTTTGATACTATTATGTAAGCGCTAACCGACTTCCAAGGTGTAATTTTGAGTTTAAGTAAAATTACGAGTATACGCGTGTATTGAGCAATGTTTATGTGTAACTTGGTTAACGTTTTTGTATGTCGAGTAATCTAAATACAATCTAAATATTTTGTTTGAACGCAAAGTGATGATGTCCCTGATAACTGATGATCCCTGATGTGTTTCGAAACAAGATAAATAGATCTTACATATTGAATAATCTTAGAGATAATTTAGTGTATAAATCGAGATATTATGTTGACTAGTTTTGTGGAAAATCTTAATCTTAGTAATGTAAGCAGTTGTATTTGGTGTGTTTATTTATATCTACCCAACGTCAGACATATCTTCCTCGAGCTTTATGTCTTCATCGCTTTCCGTGATGTGATCTCTACACGCTACGATATTAAAAATAATGATTCGGGCCAATTTCGGAACCCAATTATCATGTTGTTCACAACGCAGTGAATATCTTTTCCAGTATAGGTTTGCCTTGTAAAGAAACCAGTGTCTTGAAATATTATGTCAAATACTGATAACAACAGAAAATCTGATACTCTTGCCAAAGTATTAATATAATATCTGACATGAAGTATGTTATTACTATAACTGAAACGTATATAGTTACATACCCTTTGTACTTGCATGCGCGTTATTAACCATTTAAATCAAACATAAACATCATTATTGTAGGTCAAGTAAAATTTACTTTCAGAAGTATGTCTTATTTAATAAAAAACAAAAGTTTTGAATTAACTCTTTATAATTGTTGTTATGTAATAATTTTTTATATTGATATTAACACTAAACATGGAATTAAACTGATTTTATAGATTTTAAATATGACATTAGGAACTTAGCCCCCCCTCCCCCCTGACTGAAGGTGCCGTCAAATATTCGAACCGCTGAGAGTTAAAAATAAAAATAAGTTAAATCGAAAAAATTAAATTATGCATTATATTTTATTCCGCAAAGTTTCACTCATATTTATTTGAAAAATTGACGGTGCTATTTGCGCAATAGAGCAGTTAAGTTCCGTTCGAAACTAGCTTTTGTATGTTCTGGAAATCGGTCCGTATGCAATATCTGTATGTAAATCACGATGACGAAATGCCCAGTTTATAAAATTTTATAAAAAAATAAACATATCTGATTTATTTTCTTATTAGTGGACATGGCATTAATTAAATTATAATTATCTTATTTAGTTTTCTGAAACTAATAATACTAATGACGTATTGAGTAGCGTCTAGGTACATCATAAAAATGTGTAAATCATCGATTGTTCAAATTGTTTCTCAGCACATGGTGCCGGAATGAAGTCACGCTCCCGGTAATGTTTACAATAAATTATTGTTAGCTTGTAGACCTGGCAATGTCGAACTAAAAGTATGGACCAAACAGGGTTGCCAGATCAGATTTTCAAAAATACTGTGTTGTCCAAATTAAATTACGGTGTTTGAGAGGAAAATACAGTGTTTTATGAAAAAAAAATACAGTGTATTTTAC